AAGAAGATGTATGACCATCAATATTGTGCATGATCTCTTCTTTCTTCTCTTTTTCTTGCTGATGGTTATTGGCCTCTGAGCTGAAATAAATAAGGTTATTATTACTCTTTTTACTTTTGATAATGCAGGCTGAAGATAGGAATAGTGTGAATGACGGTTTACTAAATGCCAGAAAGGAGGTCATTTCTTTTGAAACTTTATTTGTCTATTTTTTTCCTTTTTTTTTTTTTTTTGAAAGGAGAGGCTGAAGTCATTGTTTAATACAGTACGATTTGTAAAATCCTAATCTTTCTGTTTCTTTTTTCTAGTCCGTTTTTCTTCGCTTGTTATCTTTTGTTTTTGTTTATCACCGCTTTTTTTTGCTTTTACCCTTCTAAGACAACTTTTTTTACTGTTTGCAAACAGTTGTCAATAAAGGGAGAAAAAGAAGAGGTGTAGTGCATATGATGTGTGATGCTAAGTGGTGGTGGTGATGGTGGTGGACACTCACGTATATTTTAGCTGAACGGTTCTTACCGTTGTTGCCTTTATGACAATTGAATCGTCGTTGCAGCTACAACAACAACAGCATTAAAAATTCTCTGGACATTTTGCCGAAACATTCCTCGGTTCTAGTTCTTCTACAATTCTGCTTTGCTTTGAGTCCTTTTCTTTTTCTAATTTTGTTGGTAAAATATTTCTGAAACAAACGTAGAATGATGAAACTTTTTTTCTGACGTTTAATACTGTTTTGCTATATGTGCGCGTCTACAATCAACTATAGTTTTATTTTAAACATCTAAAATCAAAATATAAATCTGCTATTTGTATTCACTGCGTCCTTCTCTTTTTTTTTTCTTGCTTTTTACGCCAAACAAATGCCAGTTGAAAAGCAACAGCAAATGACTACGAGTTGTGCATGAATTATTCAGTAAAACTTGGCAAGCACAAAGTGATGAATTCCTTACAGGTAAAACCCACTCTAAATTGTAACAATAAAGCAAGTAGCCTTTTTCATATTTCTATTGTTGCTGTTGCTGTTGCTGCATAAAATCGTTTGTGTCATTTTAGAATCTCTACGATAAATCTTTGAGCAAATATAACTGCAAATTCTTATAACGTGGTTAAAAGTCATATGAAAAAGTTACCTGACTTAATCATAATTCTAAATCCACTTCCAATTGTCTTCGTCCAATTCTACACATTTCGAATACGTGGACAACGTAGAAGATTGCAAACTTTGAACCTTTTGCAACGTGCAGTGAAACCTCGGCCGATCGAACTTTATTTAATGGGTTTACCGTAGCAGGTCAGAGTTCAAAGTTCATTCAGTGCCCCTCAGGGGCTGAAAGTGTTACTGCGTAGATGCTCCCGGACAGCTCAAAATGCTGCTTAGTCGGCTGTGATAAACGGCGGCGGCGGTTGCATAAATTCAAATAAGCGGCGGTCGTCGAGTGGTTAATTTATTGCTAGTGAAGTAATGTCCGAAAGCGTGCGGTGCAGAGGTGATGAGTCATTTCGATGTTGATGATGGCTTAACTTTTGAGCAGTTAGATTTCTGCATCCTCAAAGAAAATGTCCTGAACTTGTTTACAGTAATCCACAATATCAACAATGAGGAATTATTGCAAAGTTAAGAAAGAGCTCAGAAACAATGGCTGTTCTGCTTTTATTTGGAAAAAAATTGTTAAGTCTGAATGGTAAAACTTTTAAATGTCTTCTGCGGTCATTTTAATATCTGTGCGACCAGTCGATTGGTCAGTCAGCCAGTTAGCAAAATTTTATTGCCCATTAATTTTTTAAAAGTAATATTTTTGTTGACTTCTTGATGGTCTGTGGATGGGTTAGTGGTTGTTGTTGTTATTGTCGTTGTTGCCAGTGACAATGATGATAGTTATTTATTTTATTTTTAATTTGTCATTGATAGCTATAGCTTTTTGAAACGTAAACCATTAATTACCAAAAAATTGTTGACAGCGGTGATATTCAAAATTAGGGCTGAATGGAGGATATTGTTTTTGTGGAAAACAAATTTGTAACGCTAGATACTCGTTGTGTGAAAAAAGGCAGCAATTTAAGATGCTGCTCTAAAGTTTATGACCTGTGTAGCGTTTAGCGTTTTCTGCATTCTTGCCTTATTGAAAGTTTTTCTTTACCAATGGTCAAGTGGCACTGCGAAAAGAGCCTGACGCCGGGGTTGTATTTTGTGCTGTGGTCTATATCGATGCTAAAAGATTCTCTTTCTCCTTATGAAGTTTTTATTATTTGTTTGCATGTTTTCTTTTTTTCTTTCTATTTTGGTTAAACTGGATTTGAATTAATACCTATACAGATGTACGCTATTTTTATGTTACTGCAATGATTTCACCAATAAGATTGATTTGTTTAGGAAAAAAAAAAAAGAAGACATGCAAAAATCCTGAGATTGTTCCTTTTTTTCTGTTTTGAGATAGAATTACCATTGCATACTTTCAAGTTTTTTTTATCGTAATGCTTTCGTAGGTAAAATGTTCCGCATTTGTATAATGTTAGGATATCATTACCAGTGGTCACTCACAGTGGTACTTTTTCGAAAAGCAGCCTACGTGATCAAAGAGGGGCAAAGCGTTCTGTTTACAATCTTGCTTGGTATGTTAAGATGCTCTGTTTGTAAGCAGATGATTTGGAGGTTTGCAAGATTTGATACTTGACAACTGTGATACTAGAATAGAAGGCATCAAAGCTGGGACAATGTTAATGAACTGCAGGAGCACCTGGACATTTTCTGCGCTTTGAGCTGAAGAAAATATACAGTTGATAACACCACCTCCATGTTTTTTATTGTTTTATTTCTAAAATTCTAATTGTCCTTAGTTTCCTTTTTTTTTTTTTTTTTT